AGGCTCACCGCAACGTGAAATAGTAGTGCGGTTTCACCTCCCAGCAAATTAATTGACAGCTGCGTATTAACATGTCTCCGTAGTAACGTGTATAATCATATCAACAAAACAGGACGTGCGCAAAAAAACTGGGATTAAAAGATCTGTTCGTGATCATCAATCATCAAATGTGATCAAGAATGAGTTTTACAAGTTTAAATTGTTTTAAAACAGTGCATGTTTGCAATGAATTACAGCGATTTAGTCGTCTTTACTTCATCACTAAAGCTGCATGTCAGTACCATAATAAAAACGTTTCAATCCCAGTTTGTGGACGTTAAATCAGGTTTATTTTTTACATTTACATAACAGATATCCATCCAGCAGGGAATATTAATGTGTATCCTGTCACATTTTCTGTGCAAAAACAGTGCAAAATGAATTGTGCGTGCGGTGTGTGTGTGCGCGTGAACTTTGTAACGACATTATGTGTGACTCATTGCAACACAACAACAAATACATCAAATAATCACTGGGGAAAGTTCTTACTGTAGTATTTCTCACAAATTTTACGAGACCTTCCTTCATGTCTGTCACTGTGCTGTTCATCTGATGCAGCCTAGGCAGAGACTGAGGCACACACTGACAGGCACATAGGAACGGTGGGTAGGGAGAACCAGTGTTAAAGGCACAGGCCACAAAAACAGCTATATGGTGTCCCGAGCAGAAAATTCCAATATTCTGAAAGGTATAATAAATAATCTGATGGGTGTTTTGAGCTAAACTTTACAGAAACATTCTGGAGACAAAAGGCTCATCTTAAATCTTGAAAAAGGGGTAAAATAGGTGTTCTTTAACAAAAATCGAATTGCCAGTTATTCCCCCCCATCACTTTGTTTGTAGGATTCAATCCCTCAGTTTTGTTTTATAAAGCTGCATAAATTCCAAAGAATAGCATAGAATTAACATTAAATTCATTTATGTGACAATTAATATGTTGATAAAGGAAACATGAGCAGGAATAAAAATTTGGGAGCAAGATGTTATGGCAAGGGTACTCGATTAGTATATCTTTGAAATTTGTAGGTCACAATGGGCCCATTCGCTGAGGTCCGAGTGTGATTGTTCCCAGCATTGGTCTAGTTTTACAGCCACCCATGAAACGTGGCACATTTGCATTTAATTTATGGCATCACAAACACACAAACTACATTTCATTTTGGGTCTATAATCCTGTGCTTTTGGGCCCACATGATAACTTTCATATTTATTTTTTATTTATGAGTAAAAAAAAAAAATTGCACCCTAATTTAAAATGAATTGACCAAGGATGCTTTCATACCTGTGGTTTGGTTCATTTGTTCTGGACCAAGGGCAACAAATACATACATACATTGTAGCATTTACCTGCGGTTTAGGTTTCTTTTCACACCACACTGAATGCTCTGGTCTGAACCAGTTAAAACGAACTAAAATCCACATTACTCGTCAGCCAGATGTTTCACTGAACATATTTTCCAAAACTATAAATGTTGAAAATTAAGTGCGGATTTAGCTTGAAAACAGTGTTTTAATGGACAGCAAATGGTAAAGGTGCATCACAAGCCACTTTTTTCAAGTTTTTCCGTGAGCTGAGCAGCTTTATTAGCTAAAAAATAAAGTGCAGTACTTCCAATTATATTCTCACCCCAATCAAATTGCTCCAGTGTATATTTAAAATTGTACCAAGACCACCACTCCAAGCGATTTTGGTGCACATTTTAGTGTGATTGCTGCAGTAACATCTGCTCAAGCAAACTGCACCAAAGTAATAGTGTGATACAACCAAACTAAATCAGACAGGTGTAAAACCTCGCTAGGGCTCCATGGTGGCAATGGTAAATTAATGCGTGTGAGAATGAGAGAGCGTATGGGTGTTTCCTTGTTTGCGGCATGTAGGGCATTTTCCACATAATATACATATGCTAGAGAAATTGGTTCATTCTGCTATGACGACCCCTGATAAATAAGGGACTAAGCTAAAACACAGTGAGTGACTGAAACCTCGCTAAATACTATTTGATCGTAAGAAACGGCCTTTTATGTTTGTTTTGCGGCGTCGTAATTCACACATTATACTTACGCCCTAAAAGTTTGTACTTTTTTGTGAAGGAATAATACACTATTGAGTGTGTAACAGATGAGTATGCAAGCTTTGGGACATACTACTGCCTCGTTAACAGATCGTTGCGTTGCTTAGTTATGAGCCCTGTCAATCATCCACATTTCTGTCATATTTAATTACCTACCTTATTGGAGAAGCAGCAGCAGGTTAATCACCCATTTACGAGTCTTTCATACAGAGAAATCTCCCCAGGTCTCTGGATAACTATGCATTCAGATGTTAATGTGCAAACACGTTTAAATAAGTTAATTATTGTTGTTGCAGATCAAATACAACACAGAAAATGCATACATACAAATATCTTTACCGAAGCCGCTGTACTTGACGGTTGGTCTTGCGTGTCTGCCATGTTTGTAGTTTATTTACACTTTCACTCATGTTTGTAGTTCTAATCGTTTTCACATCCAACGTGCAATATACTGTGGGCACTATCAGCGGTTAGAGTATGGACGGTTCTACATGTAAAATCTTTCAAGACATAGTAAATCATCCAGGAATTTTTGGCATATTCTTTTCAGCATACTACGATTTGGGACATACTAATTATATTTTCAAATACTATTTAGGATGGATAGTATGTAAATTGGGACGCAGCATTTGTTTTTTCAAGACTTGGTCTTGAATACTCAAAATAGCACTTTATAGGTCAGTAATGACCGCAGAATGAGCAGATGGTACTTGAATTAGCTGAAATCGGGTTGTACAGATTTGACTAGACTGGTTTTGTTGAGCAGCCTGATAATAAATTGAGCTCTGATACTCGCATCTACCATATGACTCCAGCAGACTTATGGGTAGAGGTTTTATGATCAATTTTTATGGTTCTTTGTCATTTTTGGGTCTTACAGTTTTTCTCAGTCGCTTTGGTGCGTTTCTCACAACACCTGTGCATTTTTGCACAACAGTTAATGCCTTTTCAAAACAATTAGTACAAACTGCAAAACCTAGCTGATAACCTGCAAAAGCGAGTCACATGCTCAAAATGGATAGTTCATTCCTCAAAAGCAAGTATTGATGTCAATCAAAGAGTCAGTATCATCAAAATGAAAAGTCCTGACACGATTGTTTATGAACAAGATAGTCAAATGACTTTGTCATGTTTTCATTATGACAGTTTACTCTGGACATTTTTTCAATGCAAAAAAGTCAGATTTTGGTAAAACTTCGTGAAAATGCTCAAGACAGTGCTGTATACTATTAGCACAGCCAATTGAAAACTACAGTAAAGTTAGACATCACTGCATTTAGTGAGTGTATCTAGTACAAGACACTGAATATGTATGTTTCACATTTGTTCTGCATTTGCTCTTTACAATTTGATTTTTTTCACAGCATTGTGCAGAAAAATAAATAAACCCTTATTTACAACAAACATAAACTTTCTTTGGGTTGCACTGTGCACAACTGTAAACAATATTGCAGAACATGTTGGAACTGAACCAACATACATACACAGGTCTGTAAATCATTCATGAAACTGTTCAATTTAGAAGACATTTTCAGTAAAATAAAGATTTAAACATTTTTTTAAATAAAATTAGCTTGCAAGATTTTGACAACTAGTTCAACATTTTTGTATGTAATGACTCAAGTAATGAAATGAGGACTATTAGTTTTATATGGAATGACTATTCAGCATTTACAAGTTTAGTTAATTTTGACTGACATGACATAAGCAAATGATAATGTTATAAATAGCAGAGTGTTGTGTGAAAGCAATTGATGCATGTCTGAAAGCATAATTTGCTCAAAGGACTGAGAAACTGCAACTAGGATGTGCACAAATGGCTAATTGTTTTGAGAAATGCATGACCTGTTGTGCAAATGTAAATAGTGTTGTGAGAAATGCACCAAAGCGACTGAGAAAAACTGTAAAAGCAGCAAATTAAAAGTAGATCTCTTTTGAACAACTTTAACATTGAAGATGAGCTTATTTTTGGATACTCAGTAGCGTTCATCTGTGTTACAAATTGGCATTGCCATCTATATTACTGTTCAAATATTGGAGTGCTTCATCAGGTTCATCTGTGGTGGATTTCAGCAGAAATTTTGCAGCGCATATTCTCATGGGATATTGAAGAGGTTTGGTCTGCCGTCCTTTCCAGAAGCTTCTTGTCTTATTAATTTTAATGACTAGATGGTCATTTGCCATGTTGGAAGCATCCATGTGTATCTGGCTTATCAAATATTGGGTAAAGTCCTAGGCATTAAATGTGTTTCCATCATGAAGTTGAGAAGACCGAACTCTTGAGGCTTAAAGAATCTATGATGGCCACCTTTCACGCCTTAGCCACTTTCTATCTTCTCTCACACACATTCCTCCAAAGTTAATCAGCCTTATCAAAGCAGTACGTGCTCAGAGCTTTTGAGTTTGAGAAGAATGTGGACACACGGTGGACTGGTATCTGCAGTTTGTTTGAAACCTTGGTGAAATGTTGAGTCCAGCTGTTCTCCTGTTCTCAGCAGTGGTCCTTTATGGTGTTATTTGATAACAAAAGATGGACTTGTGAGTGTGTTTTTTTTTTTTCCTTTTAGTTATGTCAACACAGCCGCTCACTCCCCCTCGTCACTCGCAACACAGAATGAAATATGTACACACGCACACAGCTCTTCCATCCCTGTTTTCCAAAACCGATCACCCCTTGCTGCTGACAGCTGTCCTGTTTCAGATCAACCTCCGTTCCCACCCACAACAAAAACAGCAGGTCCAGAGTCCTGGAAGAACATCAGAGAGATGTGCTTCAGCAGGAGCAGAAACACTGGGCTGGACACATTCACTGTTTACCACCCTTTTCTGTTCTTCTCTTTTTCATGCATAATGAATGTGACAAACTCTTTTCTGTTTGTTATTTTACAGTGAATGTAACAGTATCTGGGAGGCAGCACTTACTGGGATTGTACGATACTGCTGGACAAGTGAGTTAATTCTCCTAAGGTCTATAAAATACTGCCATACAATCTATGTAAAAGCCTCCATATATCATAACTACAATAATAACTATGTTAGCCTCCACACCAATGAAACATACCATTGTTTTTTGTTTTTTTTAGATGCAAAAATTTTTCATCTTATCCTTTGACATGAATGATTTTGACTCACTGTTAAAGGGATAGTCCACCCTCTATGAGCTTCTCTCTTCTGTTGAACACAGAAGATGCTTTAAGGAATGTTGGAAACTTACAGTCAATGACATCTATAGTAAGTGGGAAAATATGATGGAGTCTACTGGTTTCCAAAAGTCTTTAAAATATCTTTTTTGTGCGTTTGACAGTAGAAAGAAACTAAAACAGGTTTAAAACAAGTTTAAATGCGAGTAAATAATAAAAATATAAATTTTTATGGGAACTATCCCTTTATATTTTTATTGTTACACTCAAAAAAGATTATTTTGTACTTGTTCAAACTACTTATTTGAAATGAACAAACAATACAATTATTGACATTATTTTGGGCAACTTAATTGTTTTATGTTGAAACCACTTAAATTTGTTATGTTACTTAAATATTATGTTTAAATAAATATTGTATGCACTTAAATATGTAATTTGTGTTGGAACAACACGAATGAGTTGTGTGGAACCCTGCATTTTTACAGTGTATGGTTAAAGTGTCTGGTTATTGTAATTTTTAGTCATAATTATAGATACCTTTAATTCTATATATTTATTTATTTTTTGGTTCATGCTATTTGATGATTTTTTATTTAAATATAAATATATACACTGATAAATTAACTCTAAATCTTACATCCATCCACAATCAAATATGAAAGAACTATTGTTTTCACTGTTTACATTAACTTAATATACAGTGCATGCGGAAAGTATTCATAGCTCTTACTTTTTCCACATTTTTTATGTCACAGCCTTATTACAAAATGGATTAAATTGATTTATTTCCTCACACACAATACCCCATAATGACAATGTGAAAAAATATTTTTTGAAATTGCTGCAAATTTATTAAAAATAAAAAACCTAAACCATCACATGTACATACGTATTCACAGCCTTTGCCGTGCAGCTCTAAATTGAGCTCAGGTACATTCTGTTTCCACTGATCATTCTTGAGATGAGTTCACCTGTGGTAAATTCAGTTGATTGGACATGATTTGAAAAGGCATACAATGGTCTATATAAGGTTCCAGGGTTGACAGTGCATGTGAAAGCACAAACCAAGCATGAAGACAAAGGAATTGTCTGTAGACCTCCGAGACAGGATTGTCTCGAGGCACAAGGCTGGGGAAGGTTACAGAAAAATTTCTGCTGCTCTGAAAATTCCATTGAGCACAGTGGCCTCTATCATCCATAAGGGGAAGATGTTTGGAACCACCTGGACTCTTCCTAGAGCTGGCGGGCCATCTAAGCTGAATGATCGAGAGAGAAGGGCCTAAGTCAGGGAGGTGATCGATAACCCGATGGTCACTCTGTCTGAGCTCCAGCGTTCTTCTGTGGAGAGAGGAGAACCTTACAGAAGGACAACCATCTGTGCAGCAATCCACCAATCAGTGGTATGGTAGAGTGGCCAGACGAAAGCCACTTCCCACCTGAAATTTGCCAAAAGGCATCTGAAGGACTCTCAAACTATAAGAAACAATATTCTCTTGTCTGATGAGACTAAAATGTAACTCTTTGGATTGAATGCCAGGCGTTACGTTTGGAGAAAAGCAGGCACCGCTCATCACCAGGCTAATACCATCTCTACAGTGAAGCATGGTGGTAGCAGCTTTATGCTGTGGAGATGTTTTTCAGCAGCAGGAACTGGAAGACTAGTCAGGATAGAGGGAAAGATGAATGCAGCAATGTACAGAGACATCCTGAATGAAAACCTGCAATTTCAAAAACTCTTTTACTACATTGTCATTATGGGTTATTTTGTGTAGAATTTTGAGGAAACAAATGAATTTAATCTATTTTGGAATAAGGCTGTAACATAAAAAGTGTGGAAAAAGTGAATCGCTATGAATACTTTCTGGATGCACAGTAAAAACATCACAAAATAATTCTGCGGACATGCTATTATAACTGTAACAAATATAAACTCTTTTTGCATCACAGTCACGTTAACGTTATGTACAGTCTGTTTTGAATAATGTTGTAAATAAAGCTGCAAGCCCTGACATGAAATTACCACAAACCACAGGCTGGGTAGTTTTTGTCACTGTCAGCCCACAATAATGACTTTGATTTAGGCTTATTGCAGTGATTCTTCAAAGAGAAAACTCTCATGACTAGTCAGATGCAGCCTGAAGAGATTCATCTGAATTAAAGCCCAGCTGTTTACTTTTCTTGTGCGTCTAAAAGCATCGCAAAAATGGGAATACTGTGAGCCTCAGACACCACCGTTTCCTTGTTTTATGTAAATTCCACAGGTGAAAAACCCCAGTGAGCAATGGGCCAATCATAGAACAAAACCAACTGTAATGAGACTCACGGGCCTTGTCCTCCGTATTTGCATATGTAACCTACTTTAGGTTATTTATCCGGACCTGACGAACAATCTGACTCATACACAGCACTGAAATCTTTAAAAAAAAAGCTCTGACATCGATAATATGCACACTTCAGGCTTGATAAGCCAAAGTTTTCTAGTGATACAATAGTGATCATTTTCCTTCCTTAGTTATTTTAAGCAAATATTTAACCAAATATTAAACCAATGCAGTATATGGCAACTTTAATATACAGAAACATACTGCATCTAAACTAGTGCTGTTAAACGATGAACAGCAATTAATTTGTTGAGAGTAACAAATAATGACTTCATTTGGAAAAGTGTCAGAAGGTAGATTTTTCTGATAAATCATCGGTTAAACGGCAGCCCAATTCTCACAAATACTGCCAAAGGCCTATTGGAACCCACATGGACCCAAGATTCTCACAGAATTCAGTCAAGTTTGGTGAAGGAAAAATCATGGTTTGGGTGTACATTCAGTATGGGACGTTCGAGAGATCTGCAGAGTGGATGGCAACATCAGCAACAGCCTGAGGTATCAAGACATTCGTGCTGCCCATTACATCAAAAACCACAGGAGAGGGCAAATTCTTCAGCAGGATAGCGCTCCTCATACTTCAGCATCACATCAAAGTTCCTGAAAGCAAAGAAGGTCAAGGTGCTTCTGGATTGGCCAGGCCAGTCACCAGATATGAACATTATTGGACATGTCTGTGGTAAAATGAAGGAGGAGGCATTGAAGATGAATCCAAATAATGCTGATGAACTCTGGGAGTCCTGCAAGAACGTTTTCTTTGCTGTTCCAGATGACGTTATAAATAACTTATTTGAGTCATTGCATTGAGATGTATGGATGCAGTCCTCCAAGCTCATGGGAGTCATACACAATATTATTCTTTTCCACAGCACCATGATATTCTATACTGTACATTATTTTGGTAAAATAAGCGTGATCTAGAGGCCATTGCTTTTCATATCAGACACTTCTGATACCAAATGATTGACTAGAAGTCAAGTTATTATTTGTTGTTTCTAAAACTTGGATAGGGACAAGACTTTTGTTAGGTAGTGTATAATGAAAAAAAATAAGAATATCATTTTTGTATTGTACCTCTTTTCAGCATTTAAAATATTTAAACATAAGCCCTAAACTGCTAAAAAATGATACCCTCGCCAGTTAAATATTAAAATTGAAGCATTTTTTTTACATATTTGTTTATATGAACAGTGAGCAAATATCATTTTCAAGGTATACTGTTTGGTTTTTTACAGTATCAACATCAGTGTTATTTGGAAGAATAATTATCTTATACAAAATTATCTTATTCTTTCGAGAAATATTCTCTAATAAGGACTTCGCTGACTTTGCAGAGTGGGTTGGCATTAAATAAGATGTAGTTTATAACAGTGCATAAATCTAAATAAATAATGAGCAAATAAACAATTCCTATATATGCAAAAATATGCCATGTTTACCGCAAGAACTGCACTATATGCATATTTTACAATGTAGATGTCTCAAAAACTGCACTAGACTGGTGTGAAGTGCTATTGTTTACTGTATAGATAGATACCAACAACGCATAAAATCACCATCTCAACTTTGTTTCAAGAACTATTTTGCCCTAAAGGAAGCTAAAGTGCGAGTATTGCTGATCAGCTTAATATAATTATGTATATATTTTAAGATTTATAGCTGTAGCAAGCACAGTGTGAGCTGTAATGACGAATATTTGCTCTGTTTCAGAATCGAACAGACTGACTAATGTAGTGTGCTGCCCATTGCCGTATAAATGAAAGTTGTATAAATGAGTACATCTGCTTCTATAAGCAGTTCAGTGATAGAGAGGAGCGTCTGTGTGATGTCTGGCCCTTCTCTTTCATTGATCGCTGACTACGAGATCAATGGCACTCAAGAAGAACCGACTTTTACAAGATGCTGGTGCTGGTGCTGAGCTGTCGTTTGCCATTGATATTTTAAAGGCCCTGAGTAAAATATTCATGTTCATTTACATTTCATAAGAGTTGTGAGAAAATTAAGTCATGTATATAAATGAGGTTACATTTAAGCCCAAACATTACATTTAGAAATCAAATTCTTGTTTTAAATCTGCTCTTTTAAAGAAATAGTTTATCCAAAAATGGCATATATCGTATCCTAAACACCCTCAAGCAATCATCTGTGTTTATTATTTTCTTCTTTCAGATGGACACAAAGTAGATTTACATTTTATCCATGGTGACGAGTTGTGAACGTTGTTTTAAAGCTTCTGAAAGCACAAAAATCCGTCGTCAAACAAACCCATATGCCTCCAGGGGCTTTAATGCATGTCTTTGTCTTATGAAGCTGATCAATGAGTTTTTTTACCTAAATACTTCTAATTTTTAAATTCTAAACTCAATGACTTCTGGCGGCTGCTGTACGAGCATATGGCATATATAAGGCAAGGCAATTTCTTAA